CTCTAGATTTCCATTACAACGCTAAATTGGTAGAAAATTATAATTGGACTTTTCTACTGCTATTTCTAACTGGATGTAGGCAGCAAAGTAATGGGGTACGATAAAAAGTCAATCCATCAGCTTATTTTCCCATATTAAAAAAGACGCACATTTATCTTGTGGACACAAATTAAACTCCCGAGATTTAACCAACGAGTCAAAAAATGTTAACTTATTAGCCAATACAGTCTTAAAACTGTGTTGGAATCTCTTTCCTTTACCCCAGGATACAGAGTGAAACTAACTAATCGGTCTCATTCTCAGTGAGCCTCAGAAATAGATGTACCAATGGATGCACAAGCAACATTCCTTTTAGGGAGTAAACGAATCGGGGAATTGTACGTGCACAAACAACTCATTTGTGTATGTTGCTGAATACTAAATTCATACCCCTTCAGATTTCCGTAGTTTGTTATAATCAATGTTTCTTTGTGTCACTTCAGCGGACGTTTTAGCGACAATTATCAGAAAGGAAAAATTTGGGTAACTAATCGGGCAACGTCAAGAAATGCATTTCAGAACATTTACAAAATATGTTCAAGAGACTAGAAAAAAATTGTAGCACTCTCCAGTCATTAAATCGGACCACATAATAAGCATAGCACACAAGAGCGAAATGGGTATACACGAACCAAGTGCTATTTGTGCTGTCTGCCATTCGCAGGATTGCATGACTGGTGCAGGCCTATATCTAGCGATGCAGATGAGCCAGCATTAAAATCTGGGGTGGTATATGTTAAGTAACCCCAAGAGATGAGTCAACAGCACTTTGTTTGAAAATCTCATGCAGAGCAAGGACTAAAAAAGTAAATTTGAGAAGGGAACCTCCATGATAAACAGCGACAGGGGAGCAAATCGAATCATTCACAATTAGCCCAGCAGCGGCCATGACAGGTTGGAGTGTGGAAAGACTTCCTCGCTGTGCTGATTTGGTTATCTATCCTCCCTTATGCAAATGCGACGTGACAGGAGCTGCAGGAAGCACTAAGGCAGGCCAATCTGTCACCACGGGGTCTACGGCAGCTCGCAATCGCCAAAGAGAGTGGCAGGGGTGGACGGAGATGGCTAACACAGAAAAAGCTCGCTGTAAGAGTCCAAGCACGCACGTGTGCATTTCACTGGACGGCAGCTGCAATGCTGGGTGATTTCAGCAGTTTACCATTTAAAGAAAACCCAAATCAGCAGAGGATTTTGGGAATAAATGGCTGATTTTATACACACACTTTGGATGTAAATATAAAGTGTGTGTGTGTTTTTGAATGGTCTGCACTCTTAGCCTTATGGAATGATCTCCATCCCATTTTGTTTTGTAGCTGAAACAAACTGTATCAAGTCATCATAAAAGATTATTTGATTAATACGATATTTACAAAGCCATCAATGGAAAGGCTGTTTATGCTAAATAAATGCTATAATACATCTTTAGCAATAGCTGTCAATCATATGGCTTAGTATTCATGTATATTTATTTTTAATTCCAAAATATGAAACAATGTCTCAAAAAAATACAGTTATACATTTCACAGACCACATTAAAATGGAAACTGCAAGAAACTATTCCCATTCTTTATAGTGGGACATGTTTCATTTCTGTGCGCATTAATAGAACTCAGACTGCACTTTGGCTATACACTGTAAATGCAATAATACGATTAAACTCAGCTGCTAAAATCCCAAATTTAAAACGAATCGATATCTTAAGTGGTCGCCAGGCAAACATCCTGGACATTTTAATCTGCATGAAGTAGGCTGTTTATGAAGATCATCCTCGCCTGTAGCAGGGCTGCTGTCCAATAATGATTCCTCATGGATCTGTATTAGCATGGACATTGATTTTTTTAATTACATTGCCGATTTCCCCACTAACATTTTTACAACAGAAAAAGCAATCCAAATATTACATGCATAATTAATCTGAATAACCAATGGCAATTGGTAAGACCTGTATTAATGCTGCAATCCAATTGGTCTGAGGTACACGGTCATTAATTTCAGACCACAGACGCTTGTTCTGTCTCACTTAAGCAAATAAAGAACCAATAACTTCTTTGAGATGACCTAATACTTGTCCAAGATCCCAGACATGAATAACATTAGCTGACTACCTATTAGTACTATACCAGTCAGGTAATATTTTCACAGTTTCTCAACATTTACCACTACTCAGCTTTGGGCCAGTAGTAGTTTTGGTCATGCCACGATGCAAGCAATTAATGCAAACAGGATGCTGCTTGTTTTATAGATAGTGACAGCAATTTGAGTGAAATTATTTATCTTATTCTCTTCCATATTGCCAAATTCATTAAAAACCAAAAAAAAAATGTCCATAAAATAATTCTTACTAGATAACACCACCACTCACGTAGCACGTAACTTAGTGCAAACTGCGGCTCAGTGACGTGCAAATTCACCCTGTCCAACTTTGTGAAACCGACCACTTCTAATGCCCAAGGTTGGTCTGCTGCACCTGCATGGGCTGAAGCCCCCTGCCCCATTCTCGCACACGTCATACCCCACTGCAGGGGGTGCCAGGCTTCCTAATTCTAGCCCCCCTCCTGTGCCTTGACTAAACCCATGAAGACAAAAATCATATTTAAACATTTAAGAGATGGAAATGTCAAGCGCAGATTTACATATGGCACCACGGGAGCTGGGGTTAGGGCACACGCAGGAAAAGTGCAGGAGGTGCTGCTTGTTACGGTGTTACGGCGGTTTTTGCACACTGGGAGGGCCTAAAGGTCATGGCTAATGCTAATCTCGCTCTAGTTATCAATACGCAGAGCTTTAAAGGATGACTTAAATGCAATCGTTAGCATACTAAACATCTATCAAAACATCTGGAGTCTTTAAATCTTGCTCATCAGCTATTGCGGGAACATAAGGCTAAATGGGGAGAATTTGATTGACCTTCCGACTGAATGAATTAATCCACAAACTCTTTTTATTGTGAGTGCATGGGCAGTGTTTCTTTCTACATCAGTTGCTTGTACCAAAAGCATGGTGAAGAACGTATGTTCTGTGACTGGCGCCACTCTGCTGACATGACAGGCAGTGAGCTCAGCTACAGCATCGGCCGCTACCTAATGTCAGTGCTGCACGACACAGGAACATGGGCTGGACCTTAAACATAAACTGTGATCATTTCCTGAATAACTGCAGACTTAAATCTTTGAAAGTGAACCACCCCTAGCTAAAGCCATGTATACGTTATCTTCAGCCATACAGGATCTTCTCCTCTCTGCATATTCCTGTATAAATCTAATTCAGCACCCAGCTGGTCCTCTAGAACCCACAGTGAGAAACAAAATGAGAAAACTGTACAAGTTAACAGCTGTCAGGCAACTTTGCAGCATGATATTCGGCATACACTGTAAAAAAAACAACGAATAACGAAAGTGGGTATGGAAAGATTAAGTTCGGCGTTTCTGTAGGCACAAGTTGAAAGATGATTACTTGGGCTTTAGTCTTCACCTGTTTCAGAGAGATTCACTTTGAAATGGCTTTGATTTCATGTTGCAGGTGGGTTATATTTTTAGTCAGTGTGGGGAGATTCGCCCATTATTTGTGCTTTGTCTTCAGACTTGTTGGTTTTGTTCTTCTTTTGATATCTGTAGCTAAAATTTATGGAAACCAACTGCAAGCATGTATGTAAATTTCCAGACACTGACTGAGGTCTGAAACACCTTGCTTTGACACATTTACCAGTACAGTGTATTATTGTAAAGTAATACTGTATATCCCTCTATTCTGTGCAAATATGAATTTTACCCTACAGATATATCAGTAGATATTGACTATTTTTCCTAGTCCAATAAATTCAGTGGAAAATACCTTAAGAAGAGCCCACAGTATCACCATATTATTCAGTTACAAAAGGCGGCTTGACTCCATAAATTTACACTTTGTGTCTCAATGTTTCTCCAAAATTTAAGCCTGCTTATTTCTTTCAATTCGGTCAGACTTCTTAAATTCTTCCTTTAGACAAACAAAAGGGAGGAATTTGCAAAATGAATTATAATTAACTTAACTCTCCCAGGGAATGGAATGATGGTTGACCAAGACGTCAACAGTCATCAGCATGTAGCTGATGGACGTTTTGCTTTTTGCAGAATTAGCTAAATGCTGTGTCGCTCACACGCGTCTTCTTCTGGGCCTTGGTGGAGGCTGAAGGGAGAAACAGCTTCAGGCTGCTTTCCATGTGTCTGGGTCCCATCGGAAGGCGTAATTACCCTCGGGGCAGATACGGTCTGACTTTAAGCACCTTTAAACAGACCATGTTTAAAACGCATAAAATGCATTCATACAGGACTCTCAAAGCAGGCCGGCAACAGCAGAAAAACCTAAGTGGCCTTTTACTTACGTGTTTTCAAAAATAATAAAGAAAAACATCAAACAAATAGCCTGCAGCTATGAACAATAACACAACAAACCTTGAACTGTAAATATAGGGATATCAAACATTTCCAGTTTTTACACCAGAAGGAGAGGCTTCTGGGATGCGTTCGGGGTTACACGCTGAGCACCCACGCGATTTCCCAATGAGAGCTTCAAACCCAGCAAAGGGTACTGCTGACTGGAATACAAGGCCACATCTAAATGCAAGATAGAGCTAACGACGCTAACAACCAATGAAGGCTGCACACATCAGAGAGGGAGCGGTGCCGGATCGCCGCCGCTGACTGCAGCGTCAAAGCGCAGTCTGCCTGTACCTGTGCGCAGCGTCAAAGCGCAGTCTGCCTGTACCTATACGCGTCCATCAAGCGACTGCTCAGCACCCCTGCGTGCTTCATACTGCTCATTTCGCTTCCTTATGCCAAAATAGAATAGCACGTTTAGTGGACTGTCATGATAATAAACTTGAAATTAACAGGCCAGACGTAGGAAAGAAACACTAGGAATGCGGAATTTACCCTGATTCTGAAAGGGGAGGATCTCAGCAACTATGCTTATATGTTAATAACGGTGCCAAATTTACTCCAGTGGAAATGCTGCTGAGCTCTGAGGGAATCTGTCTAATGCAGAGCGTGATGAAGGCATTCGCTTGTTCAGTCTTTGCTGAGCGGGTTTATTTAATATGCGCGACACGTAACTCAAAAGTCAAAAATGTAAACAGGTGAAATATTTACATCTTGTGGAAACACTTTCATCAGTGAAAACTCACCATATACCCCCAAAACATACCTGAACAAATGTAACAATTAGAAAATAAAGCAGTTTGAGCAACTGTTCCCGAACATTACAAATCATCAACAGTAAAATGAATGAACTATTGCCAGGGTTGATATGTTGTACAACACTGCCCTCAAGAGACTGAACGAGGAACAACCTTAAAATATCTGATAACTGCTCTGTTCTGTGCACTGTTTTGAATATGGTTTCAAATTCAGGGTGAACTGTCCATTTCCAGAAATATGTTATATCTACTAATATAGATTTGCATATAATTCACACATTAATTTACACAGAGCTCTTTACAAAAAGAGTCACATTAATGCCCCATATGTATTGGTTCTAAATTTTAATATTTTGAAAAAGTTAAATGATGTCTATTAATAGTTCTATCAGGCTGAGCTGCCAAAGCAGGGATTATTTTTGAATAATTTCACCATCACTGGGATCATTAGGTCATTTTCTGTAACCCGATTCAACTACAAATGCCATTGTTGTTTGTGGTTTTTTCTGAGGAAAGAAATAAATAACTGGGGAGTCAAAAACTGAAAAAGACATCACAGTTCAATTGAAATATACTTCAGTTTCTTTTCAATTTCTCTAATGTTAAATAATCAAATGACAACAGTCATACCTCAAGGCTGCTGGTCTATGTCTTGTGTCACCAGGCTGATGTGCTTTGTGTCAGGAGATGCGGGTGATTCTGGGGGCATCAGTATTCAGGTGTTCCATAGGTGTCTGTAGATAAAACAGAGCAGGGAGGCTTACAGAACGCACACCCAAACAGAAAAAGGTGAAGTTCCTCTGGCAACAATATCAGTGGATTAAAATTTGCATTCATCAACCACTGGATGACCTGCAAACCATCTGTTTCATATGCTTTGTTTATTGAAAAAAACCTCTTCAGTAGAAGCAGCATCTTCTGCTGTAGGACATGATGTTGGTCATGAGGCTGATGATATAAGGAATCACCAATCCGGAGAGCTGGAGAAAAAGAACAGGTGGAGGTGGACCCACAAACAGAGGAACATCAAAGAGAATTCAACACTGTCCTCCATTCATCCGTGCACCACCATCTACTCCAACCAACTGAAACAGAATGAAAAAAATCCATTCAGAATAGCAGTGATCTGGACTAACAATATCTGCTATATAACGTTTGTGACATGGAATACATCTAAAACAGGACAGGAGAGAGAGAGACAGAAATTACAGCCTATTCACCAAAGTACTGTAACATTCTAGGGGTAAAACCAGCTCAGAAAAAAACAACAAACAAACAGATCATACAAGACCTTCCAGACCGAGCCAGGAGGAACTTAACACTCATGACTGTGAAACTGTAAGGATTCTCACTATAGAATAAGCAGTATCAATAAAGTAAATGGGTGTTCCTGAAAATACACACAAGCTGTCCATCAGGGATCATTCAAATACCAATGACTGTCCTCACTACAGGAGGACGGCTAGACGGCAGGGTCCCAGGCTCCCAGGGGGAGTTTCAGTACAATGGGGTGGGGTCGAATCAGGGAGAAGCTGGGCACCCGCCACAGGAGAAAGGAGCCGTGCTCATAACGGAAGAATGCCAGGCGGGTTCATGTCACCCAGCAGCCGTGGTCAAAGGCACAGCGGTCCGCATGCACGCATGAGCTGTTCTCAGAATAGAAGGAGATAGAAGCGAGTTAACAAGTGCTCACCAACACGTGCAGTGCCTTGCGCACTCTAATCAGCTGCATGCTGACACAGCTGGGAATTCTTGAAAATAGCAGTGTTCTAAAAATGAAATATATAATGAACTGGAAAAGCACGGATTGCACCCACCAGGCTGAGGAAGAGTAGCTGTGTCAAGTGCAGGGGTTTAAGTATCTTGAGATCTTATTTATGAGTGAGCAAAAAATGGAGTGAGAGATCGACAGGCGGATCGGTACAGCGGCGGCAGATATACATTGTATCATTCTGTCGTGGTGACGAGAGAGTGGAAGCAGATGGTGAAGCTTTTGATTCAGTGATCGATCTATGTTCCTATCTTCACCTATGGTCACAGACTTCGGGTAATGAGATCGCAGATACAAGTGGAGGTGATGAGTTTCCTTCACAGGCTGTCTGGGGTCAACCTTGGTGATGGGGTGAGGAGCTCGGACATTGGGGAGGAGCTTAAAGTAGAGCAGCTGCTCCTCTGCATTGAAAGGAGCCAGTTGAGGTGATTTGGGCATCTATCTAGGATGCCTCCTGGACACCTCCCTGGGGAGATGTTTCGGGCATATCCAACCAGGAGGAGACCCTGGAGCAGACCCTGGACATGCTGGAGAAGTTAAATCTCTCGGCTGGCCTGGGAACACCTGGATGTCCCTCCTGGAAGTGGCTGGGGAGAGGGAGGTCTGGGCATCACTGCTTACACTGCTGCCCCTGCAGCCCAGACCTGGATGAGCATGGGAGGGTGGATGGATGGATAGATGAATGGATGGAAATTCAACTTAAAGCTAAGGAAATAACAGTGTCACATTGGTACATTGGTGAGTGATAAAATATGACTGTAGCGACATTACTAACCTACGCTTATTTCAACATTGTAGATAAGACACACAAAACAATTCTGTATTTCACTGACTAGTTATGCGTTCCTAAAATATGAGCCCTTACTTTTGCTTCAGTTAGCAAACTGCAGTATTTCTTAAGCACATGGCCAATAACATTTACAAATAGTAAACAATAAACAGAAAATCTCTAAAATATGTCTGAATTGTTATCATGACAATTTATACAGTAATTGTGAGAAAATGAGTAATAAGCAAACACATGAATAAATAAAGATGAGTGTTACCATAGTGAGCTTAACAGGGCTCCTTGATGATAGGGATGTTCCCCTGGAAACATAACCTAGCTGTCCATGCTGTCAGTACTATGGTGTGTGGATGCCGTGACAGTGACGTCACTGCTGATTCCTGATAAGGGGCATCGTGATTCAACAAAGGGTTTTGGGATGTAAAACTAAATAGTGTGCATGAAATTAAGTGCTATGTGAATGTACACATAGACAGTGCAAATGAAATACCTCGTAATTACAGAAGGAAGAGTGGCACATTGGTAGGTGAGTAGCCTCACAGAATTAGACAAGAAGCTACTCTGAAATGCTGAGGTTTTGGATGTGAATGATCTCTACAGACATGGCTGATGGAGAGAGTGCAATAGGGCCCATCGTCATCCTATTGGCCAATCTGGCTGTACTTTGTTTTTCTCAGAGGTCACTGTTACATCGGGCTGCGGTCGTTTCCTTTTTGGGGGGGCTGTGCTGCAGTAGCATACATCAAGCGCCTTATATTAGATTATATAATGGCTGTCTAGCTTTGAACTCGGTGTTGGCTGACGTACCACGGAAACAGCCTCTTATGAACATCTTGATGAGGTGCGCTGCGATTCCATTTTAGTGAGCTATGGAAGTGCAAGATCTGAGGAGGGCCAGGACAAAATGCCTTCATAAAGACCCATGTTAGGGCAATAGATCCGTAATGACAGTTTGGTTTGGAGGATTCCAGTTCTGGGAATATCATAGCCACTGTGAGGCCTCGTGGGACTGGCTGTACAGACACTGAGAAAGAGGCACACACCGAAACCAACTGGAAGGTGCCGCTGTATTTTTATTTTTGAAGGCAGTTCTCACCACTTCCTCTGTGATGGGGGAGGGAGGGGAATGGCTGATACTGGTGAATACGTAGATAGATGCTATAAGCTTTTCTACATGTTATGGTATATGATTGTCTGATCTGGACTTGCAGTATATCTCATAAGCACTCACTGGTTTTGCTTTCCTTATGACCGTATGTAGTTTATATTCAGCCTATTTATTTCGTGCTTTTTTGTTATTATACATTTACCAATATTGGCTGTAAAGAGAAGTTTATGAATGATGACATCGACGAGCTCCTCACTCAAGCGCGATCTCGCGAAAAATGTCACAGTCAGAGTTTCAATACCTCGCCCGGTACAGGACTTCATTGTTAGTGAGCTGGACTTGCTGGTTTTAAGGTTTGGTTTATACACAGGTGCCGTGTCCGATTCGGCATCCCAGGCGTGAAATGCATCCCTTGTCGGGAGCGCGCAAAGCTCTTTTTTCGGTTCGAAGGGGGAGAAATAGTTCCGTCCGTCTTAAAAACATGTTTTTGTTTCGCTCTTTCAGAACATTGCAATAGAAAATCGTCTTAATTATGGGGAAAAATAAATGAGGCTACTAAATGCGTATAAGAAATCATAGAGTGTCATTTTCTTCGTGCTGGTGAATAAAACAAAGGTCTTCCTTGTTCATCGATTAGTAAAGTACTGAGAATAGTACTAGTTTAGACTAGTAAATAAATAAAATGATCTAGTTCAAGGCTCATCGTTGACATTCAATGGCATAGTTTATCAGATTGATATACTTATTTAAAATGTGCAAAGACAACTTCCTGTTTCTGTAGTACGTTTAAATGGACGCATTTCAGTATAGGGATGTGCGCGCTCCCGACAGGGGACGCATTTCACTGCAGAGATGTGCGCGCTCCGCCGAATCGGGCACGGCACCTGTTTAAGGCGCAACACGGAATGGTCGCAGCGACCGAACGAGCGGTGGTTGGGGAAACACACAATATAGGCTTATAGGAATACATCGTAGCAGTGATCCAGTGTTTTGTTCCCTCGATCGGCTGTGTCAGTTTATTTGTTTTTTATTAGTCAATTCGACAGAGAAAAAAAAGCATGATTTAATTCCCTCAAAACTATAATGACAGAATACAGACGAGATTTTTCAGTCAGAAACGAGTTTTGCATGCTGAAAAATCCGCGTTTGAATTCCTATGGATGTGAACTCCGATGAGAACAAGTTAACTCTGAATAGGCAAAAACAAAAAGGTTCATGAATTCTGTTATGGGACATAAGTTGTCCAGTGGCATTATTTCAAATAACCGTTCAAATTACCGTGAAATTCATGCTTATTAAAACAAACAAGTTAAGTCTTAAGCAGGCATTTAACACAGTCCGCTGAAAACATATATGTTTAAAAAATGCTTGTTTTCACCAGCTTTTCCTCATTACATAAACATGGCGACTGTCGCGAGACGATGTTCCATTTCCCATTTTAATGGTTACGTCACAAAGATGAGGTGAATGTGTACTTCCCCCTGATTGGCTGCTTACGTATCCGCTTTGCTGTTAGCTTAATTGTTTTTGAATTTCATAAAATGTACAATTCGGGATGAGATAGTGATGGGAGTCACAGCTTTTTGTGGGGAGCCGTATCTATAGTAGCTCTAATCCTTTCCGAGAGCCGTTCATCATCCTTCGTGGGTGAAGGTTCCTAGGTTGATATGCAAAATAATAACTAGCATAATGATAGGGTGAGATATGGACCAGATTCAGACTTAGACATGCACCCAATATAATTTAATTTCGCATGTATGGACTAGGTTTGGCAGCACTAAATTACTCGTATTGCCAGACATGATGTAGGTGATCTGCACTGTAAATAATTTGTCAGTGAAGTTTCAACTTTAAGTTTACCCAGTGTATTAAACGTGCCATGGAAAGTTCCCTTGCCTTCAATGAAATTGAACTACACTTAATACTAAATTACTTTCTATTGGCACGAAACCTGCTCATTCTGCCTTTAAAAACCTAACGTAATAATGTCTACCTCTTTGTGACTGGCTGGGGGGACACAGTTTACGTAAAGGGAAGTGGAGTGGATTTAGGGCAGGCATTTAAATGTGGGCACTGCGATAAAAAAGCCACTGTCAGACACCGCTCTGTTTGCTTCGATCGGGCCAAAGAGCCTTTGAAAAGAAAAAAAAACAGAAAAGGGGACTAGAGGGGGAAATCACAGTCAAGCCGATAACCGATTATATGCTGCCTGTTAGGCTGAGTTTACAGTTCGGTGTAATTACCTACTTCGTTCGTAAATAAGATATTTGTTAATGTATACATATAAAACATACTAGTTAACGATACAGGAACACTGAACCCGAACCAAATGATAGCTTTCGAAAATAAAACACCAAACAATTAAGTATAAATATCCGATAGAATTCACCAAGCCAACGGCACAACTGGACAACGACCGGGATATCAAACGCGCAAAATATACTTATATACGTACTTGCATATACTCAGAATAATTGCTTTCTAACATAAGATCACGATGGAATCTATATCTTTGTTCGCTGCGTGCACAGTATACATGTTTTGCATATTACAATTTGCATTGATTGGTTGGTGCTACTCTTGCCTTCCACCTCCAGAACAGCAATTCCGAAGCCGCCCCCGCTTTCTTTGCATCGCCTTCTCTGGTACTGCAGTACTTCCTCCTGCATGTGGAAAGCACAAAAGCTGTTAAAAACTCTTCTAGATTAAGTTTGCCCCGCAACAGACCGGCGCTCAGCCTGCCCTGTCCTCAACAGCGTAGAACCCCCCGTAGCCCGAGCCTGCCCAGGACAAGCTGGATGATGGCTGGTTTGACTATACACAGTGATCACATGTGGCAAATAGCTACTGTAATATATTTCGCATGTTGGGGGCAAATGGCATGCATGCCAGTTATTTGTTAATAGTGTAAGGAGCCGGAGCACAGCGATCAGGGCCGAGGCGCATGTGACATGTGACGCGCGCTCCTCCTCCCTCCCCGACAGGCCGTCGCCCTCGATTCCTTTCCACAGGATGTGTCTGAACACATGAGGCACGGATATCCCAAATTGACCTCACATCTCAGACTAATCTAAATCGAGAACTAACATTATTTTAAGTACCGCTTAATTATACTACGGGCGTCGCCCGACCCAAATTTGGAGTTGAGCACGCGGCTTTACGCCGATGATCGCTTACTGCGCTGCGTAACGGTAACCAGCACCGGGATGGATCATTCACAGCCAGTCAGCCGGTACCAAGTGGTAAGGAAATCCACTTATCCCGCTTCTTAGATACTCAGAAACTATGATCTGACTTTCTCCAGAAGTTTACAGATATATATATATATACAGCCTACATATAGACATCGATGACAGCCGTTAGCGGCTTCTTTTAGCCTCCATACTTCCGCTTTAAAGTTGCTGGCTCAAGAAAACATTACAAGACATTTACAGGAAGATTGAAAACGCGATGCTTGGACTATCGTTTTATCATCTGAATATGTCAGACTGCTAACAATAGCCGCTAAATACAGCTATAGTGTTATCACCTGCTGTCAGTTTATCCTAAGTGAAGACGCTTCACCTGCTTGGCAGCGCTTTAGCCCTTTATCAAATAAACCAGAAATGCCCCGGAGCTGACATTGTTTCGTTTGTGTCTGTTCAAGAATTTATCCCGTCTTGTTGGCTTTGACTGATATTAGTCTGTGCTCATATCTTCGTTTGGACTAGTTTATTTCATTCAGTTGAGTGTTATATAACCTCCTCCCCTAAATGATTGGCTTAACATACAGTCTGGAATTTAAGGGTCACAAAATCAATTAAGGACAACAAAGCAGCTGCATGGTCACAATTTCAGTACCATACCTAGCCGGATACCTGCTGCTCTAAGACTGTAAGTGGTGTCAGACTGATGGATTCCTCCGTCTGGTTGCATGCAGCTATACAACGAAGATGACTCCCCTGAAGAGTCCCCCCACACTGAGTCCTCCCCATCCATCCAAGAGGTCGCTTCTGGGGGAGCTGCCCTGCCAGTGGGGCCTGAGGTTCCTCCTCCCTATTCCACAGGAGACGGTATGTTTCCTTCGTCATTTGGAATAACCCAGTAGTTTAAACTGGTACATTATTTTCAACACCACCTGATACTAAAAAGAAAAAAAAACTCTCCATCAGTTTGCTATTTGCTAAGCTAATTATAATTCTCTTGTAACCTTAAATTCATCCCAGTGTAGGAATTTTTAATAACTAAGTTTCAGATTTCTTAAAATGAATGTGACTTTAATGATTTAGTGATTATTATTATTAACGCTACTTCTAAATGGGTTTGGTTTCAGTTTCCCTTTGCTGACTTCTGACGTGATAAATTCTCTTCTCCCAGAGTATTTCTTTCAGAGTGACTTCCCCCTGGCCTCTGCACCCCCCCCATACAGCATCGCTACCTCCTTGCCCACCTATGATGAGGCTGAAAAGGCTGCTGCCATGGCAACCTCTGTGGCAAATATGGTACATTGCTGTTATAATTTGGGGGAGGGGTATGAAAATATGTACGTACTGTATATGGGCATGTTCAAGGGAGATTGTTTTGGCAACTTTATTTTTCACTTTATTTTGGCTGAAATTTTGAATGTCTTTAAAGTGTAGATCTGGAAATGTATTGGGACCAGTGCTCACACATGGCAACTCTTATAGTATCTTTTTGTGTCGTATTTTGATATTCAGTGCCACATTTTCTGGCTAGATGGTTGAGATTGACCATAGTAGACGTTTAAGTGGTGTTGAGAGGATTACAATTGCAGCAGGTCCTGAAGCTTGTGATAGATTAATGGATAGTAAGGGTCAAAACACCATGCGAAAGTAAAACTATAAAAACCAAAATTAGTTATGAATTATGTGAAGGATGCAGTTAGCCTGATACTCAATGACAAAATAAGAACAAGAGCACTTGGGGCAGGTGCAATTAGGACCTTTATTATAGCCAAAACTATAACTGAAATCACAAAAACTATAACTGAAATCACAAAAACTATAGATGAAATTACAAAAACTGTAACAAATTACAAAAACTATAACTGAAATGGCAAAACCGATAACTGAAATTCAGTTGCTGTAGTGCCTGTATACAAAGACTATAAAAAATGGATGAAGGAATCCTTGTTAGATAAATACAATCATTTTTTAGAAAATGCTTTGGTGTTTTCATTAGTTTCCATTAAAAATTGTATAATCTGCACTTTGTATCAGATGTGTTTATTTAAATTCCACGTTATTATATTTCTGTATTTTTAATAAAGCGAATTGATTCATGGTGTTATTCTGAAGCAGGGGGAGTTTCCACCGCGGCCTGATTTTAGCGAGGCTCATCGAATGAGTGTTGGCAGCGACCGCATGTTCATAGTGGCCTTTTTCGGTAAGTCAGCTTGTTAAGTGACCCGCTTTTTGTGACCCCCATTTTGAACGTCACATTAGAAGTCAGAAATTGTTGTTATGCCACGTTGTGGTAGATCAGTGAGATAAACGCTAAGAAATGCCAGTGCAAGATGTGACTGTATCAGTACAAAGAAGAAGAGACAACAGATAGCATCATAACAGCTGGATCATTATCTGTTTGTCAGGACTCTAAATTATCAGTGCAGCACAATGATTGGTCAGTGAATAATATTTAAACTTGATATTAAATGTCTAGGGCATTACATTTAGGGTGTACATCAAGTTTATCAAATGAAAATAATAAGTGTGCTGTTTATATAGTGTTCGGTTTTAAACGGCAAACTTTGTGACTGAATTTATTAATTCTGTCATTTTGAATTTTGAATATATATCTTTCGACAGTGGCTTTTCTTTTCAACTGGATTGGCTTTTGCCTTTCTTTCTGCCTAACCAACACGATGGCTGGCCGATGCGGAGCTCTTTCTGGCTTTGGACTCTCCCTTGTCAAATGGATCTTCGTCTTAAGGGTACGTCTGTAAGGAAACTGGTAACTTTCCAGTAGTTTTCATCAAAAATCATGGGAATTAAAAATATACATATAAATGCAGTTTATTAAAACTGCTATCAGTAACAGAAAAAGCAGAGATTCTTGCTTGTCTGCCTGCTACGACGATATCTCTTTAGTTAATTGTTTTGAATCTGAGACATTGAGTATTTTATTTGAGTAGCATGTATTGGAGATTTTAATAAATTGAATAAATTATGCTGAAATTTGTGGATCACCTAAAAATTTGACCTGCAATGCCTTTGACAAGTCCGGGAGTTTAAAATATCTCAAAGTTATTTCTGATGGAAGATCCTTTAACACACATTGCCAAAAATGGTCATTAAACACGTTCAAGTACAACTTAAAAACAGGTACATATCACAATATATTCTAACAATATTTCTTTTGTCAACTCCTCTGACCTTTTTGTGTTGTTTTTTTTCTTAGATTTTCCACTATTTTGATCAGTATATCCATGGTCAGTCCTGGTTTTGGTGGATATTCATTACTTTTGGTGAGTTGAAATTATATAACTTGTATGCATTTATAGATATGTTCAGACAAATAAAGGAACTAGGTGCAACTATTACTGCTCTGTACTTAGTATAGTCACTTAACTAAAAATGAAATTGTAATTGTATATGTTGTATTTCACCAGGATTCTTTATGTCATTATTATACATATTAGAATTGTTGTTGTTGTTATGGTTGCATGTTCTTAATGTGCTTGCACGATTTCCTATAGAAGCTTCCAAATACAAGATGCTGGATTAGCGTTGGAAAAAAAGATCATACATATTAAATATTGTACACTGCTGCCACCTTGTGGATGAATCGTCTACGTTTTCTGTTAATGAACTTTATGTAGGTTAGAAAAGGTGAAAATGTGCTTTATAAAGCATTTAAAAGTAATTCATGTACAAAGTCATGATATGTGGTTCATCAGTAGTATTTACTGCTGTCACTTTGAAGGTTTCCTGCTCTTCTTCAGAGGAATTGTGAACTATCTGAAGGTGCGGAACTTGCCTGAGAACATGGTGGCAAGCAGCAGGATCCGTTTCTACTTTCTGTACTAGTGGTATGAAAGAATCACATGGCCGTCTGCAGTGCTATCCACCAAATCACATGGCCGTCTGCAGTGCTATCCACCAAATCACATGGCCGTCTGCAGTGCTATCCACCNAATCACATGGCCGTCTGCAGTGCTATCCACCAAATCACATGGCCGTCTGCAGTGCTATCCACCAAATCACATGGCCGTCTGCAGTGCTATCCACCAAATCTTACTAGCCCTACGTCATTCACCACCCCAAAAATTCACCTTGCTCCAGAGTGTAGTGTTTTCAGTTGTATTCATTTGCCAGTTTTGCCGTTTTCTAGCATCATGAACATTCCCTTTTTTAATAAAAAGAAAATAAAATATTTAAAGAATGTTATACTTATCCTGTGGTTAGAAGATGTACAGTATGTACGGAGGATGATTTTTGATTATAATTCATTAGTCCTTGTATTTTACTACTAGCTCCATGTGTGATTTCACGTTCAAAGTTCTCCTTGTTTGAAAGTCTTGAAATCTTGCCTAAATCATATGGCATTTTTTTTCTTTGAACAATTTGCCATTTTTCAGCTGTTAACTTCTTTTTCTGTTTATTTTTTCCCCCAAATTTTATCGGTAAACTAGATGCTTATTTCACTTGATCTCATCCTTGCCCCAATCAGCCATCCATGTCTTCTACTCTTATTGTCCCCTTCATGTTTTTGCTCTCCATACTGGTCAGAACAGGGTCACACCCCCAATACTTTCTGTCACACCTGTTGCTTTTGTTGGCCACTTATATATCTGCTTTCTAATGATGTTTGTCATCTTTTCGTTTCTTTCTAACACTTTGCTTTTGACCCAGAGAATTATGCTTAAATGCCATTCCATTAAGCCTAATCATTCTCCTCACCCCTTTAATTTGCAGCCACCCTACATAAGTTACCCCTCAATCGTCTTTCCAAATCTTTGAATAACAGCACTTTCAGCATGCCTTCACTTCAGAGGAGCTCATTTAGGATTTGCAGTGAGCACTGCAGGCCTGTCCCTCCCTCCTTTTCTTCTTTTGTAATGGTTGCTTTTAGTACTTTTATGTCAGCAAGCTAATTTTCCTGTGAAACACGGTAAATCTGGGTTGGCATTTCATATGAAATTGCATAATTGGTGTTGATTTGTTTCTGGTTTGCAGTTCAGCTGTTTGCAGTTCAGTGTGGGGTTTTATTAATCTGCACCTGCCAAATGAACGGGACTCGGGGCTGTGGAAACTGAGCTCTCCAGGAAGGCTGCCACCAAAGAAGCTCATTAACTCATTAAAAAAGCAATAATTATCAACAACAATCATTAATGATACATCGTAATGCCACATTTATTGATTTCAACAATACAATCATCTATGCCATTTCACAAATACATTTTCTAATATCTTTTTGACATTCTTACCATAATGTATGAATCTCAATTATAAGTTCAGTCTATTGAGGGGGGGGAGGGGGGGCGTTCACTATTTAAGTGATTTTTTTGTTTTTTTTGTTTCTTGAAAGTGATTACTCAGTACATTTCCATTACATGTGCAATGTAGGTAACTACAGAAGCTTTTATATTTTATAGGAATTTCTGGATATGCTTCTTAAATTGGATTCTTCTACATGCTGGTCCTGGTTATTTTTCATTTCTTTTAACTGGCATAGTTGTCTCAGTAATGCGTCTGTGTGCAGCTTCAGATGCTCCTCGTTTTTTCACCTTGAGCCGGAGACTAATCAATCCTAATCGTATGAATGTTTGCTTTAACATTAAAAGGTATTGTAATATTCTTGTGAGTTTCTTTCATTAACTCTGTAATACACAGTCCTTCCTTTAATCCCAAAAATAATGGATTATTCTGCATATTTTATGTAAATTTGCAGTCTAGAAATTGCCCGCTGTTTGAAATGTACAGCATAATTTGTTGATACGTTTACCTGTTGTGTACAATCCTGTATGAAATATTCAAAATATCTCCATGTGTAACTCCTGATACAACTTAAGGTTGTGGTATTTTTTATTATTATTTTTAATTTTTTTTCTTATAGGTTGTGGTATTGTAGTTTCTGAATGTACTGTTTTAAACACGCCTTTAATAAGATTACTTGTTTTTGACAGCTGCATTAATTTTATAGGAACGTGTATGGATTATTTGTCGATGGATCTAAAACTTTGTTTTTCTTTTTTAAAAAAAACTTGTCATATTGCCAGCCTTTTATGGGAAATGTCGATTTATACATTTTTTTCTACTGGGACACTCAAACATGCATTTTGCATGTGCATTTTGTACTTTGAGAAGGAAATGTGTATTTTTCCAGTAAATTATTCTTCCAAATATTCCCTCTTTGTTATTATGGATGGTGTTGTTGTGAATAAGACAGGAGATGAAGCATCTGGAAGATTTTGGAATTCTATGTTTTTCTTTGTAAAGTTCTGTGTTATAAACAAACCACTGCGCAAACTCAGTCTGAACCAGTCCAGTCATATTTGTCCCTACCTTTCATGTTATTCCTTCAGATAAATGCCACATTAACTCTGTTGCAATATGCTGTACCCAGAAAAAAATATGCCCTATATACATATATAATATAATGTATTACATATATGTGTGTCTACGTATGCTTCAATCATATTTTCGTGTTTATGTATGTGATATTTACTATCAATTTTTCAAACTTCTTACTCAAAATAGGGAATATAAAAATCACGTAGTACTGTAATACGTATATATACAGTACACACACACATACATATATATACATTCATCAATTCCATATCCCTTAAATACATATGTATTTTGTATGCGTGTGAGTGTGGTTCTTCTGCAAGCATTTCATTATTTATTGACATCAAAGAAATTTCTGCAAAATGTAGAGATTCTGCTAAAGAGTTGTATTATTAGCCGAAGATGCTACATTATTTATAGATTTTTTTTAAAATGTACTATGTATGTTATAAGCATTCATGCATAGCAAAATATTTACAAGTGATACCTTTAGAGCAATAACAGTGTGACTCTGTCGTCTCACACGTCCAGGGCTCCGCATACAAATGGCACCCTGTGTTTGTGTAGTTTGTTTGGTCCCCCTGTGGTGCATGGTTTACTCCAGGTACTCCCGTTTCCTCCTGTAGTCCGAAGATATCCAGTGAGGTGAATTAGCTTCTCAATAGAGCTCATAGTGCCTGATTACGTACGTGTGTGCAATTTGGGGATAGTTCACCTGGCAGCCCAATACTGGATAAGCAATTAGAAGATGGGCAAATCGATGGACATTCAGAGTAGATGTAAAGCTAACGGACTGACTAACACTGTCATTCAAAGGGAAGAAGATGAACTCCGGAATCTGGCAGTCTACCCAGAGGAACAGGTTGCAGGTGATGTAAGTCAGACCATCTGTTGCAAATCTGTTTCTATAGCAACTACATTTTTCTAAGAATGTAAAGGAGCTGTTCAGTACGCTGAATGCTGTATCTTGGTGAAACTGAAGTGTGCATAGGTTCTCAGGATTGAATTGCGGGTCCGGCTGCAAAATAATTTTATGTGTCAAGGGGAAGAGAAAGGTGCAAAAAATCACATGGGCAAATTGCATAGGCAAAGATAACAAGAAGGATAGATGGGCAATTAACACAGTACTTTCAACACACGAAAATATACAACCTCAAAAGTGACCAGAGTGAAATCGATAGTCTTAACAGTAGACTGAAATTTATTAAAAGGCTGCCATTCAGAAACCACTTGTGCTTAAGTGTTATCCAACTTGATATAAAGCACACAATCTGGACAATCAAGCAAGGGAGAACAGTTATTGTCTGATGAGTCATATTTAACTTTTTTCCCCATCTGGACAGGTTTTTGTTTGGAGAAAACCAAAGGATAACGTCAAACCACAATGCATGTTGGTATGGGCAGCCACCTTGCCGGCCTCATTAGGTCTGGCCATTCATCTGGATTCTGGCATTATAGCCAAGGAATGTGAAGCCTTCCTACAAAACCAGGTCCCCCATATGTTGCAGAGCCTGTTCCATCATGCTGTTCCCTTAATCCAAGACGCTAATGCCCCCATACACACTCCCCAATTACTGAATTCAAACACCATTGAGTCTTTATGGGACGTTCTGCAGCACAGAGTGTACAGTAGCATTGTAGCCGTGCCAGTGCCCTTCTGCTACCTTCACCATGCAAGTCAGGGTCAGCTGCTATGTGGATGACGATGATCAGGAACACTTGAGACTGACTTGTGTAAGTTACATTGGTCTGTTTTGCAACTTGCAATCAGCATTCCTTTACACATGGCGGCCCCTTTGTTGACATTCCTTTAGTGTCGTCGTCCCCCCCCCCCCACTCGCTCTCCAGGGCTGCTTTATCTCATTAAGGAGTAAGTGTGCCGTGTTACAGGCATCGACGCTTGGAACACCCTGGTAGCCACTGGCAGCCGATCAGCTGCTGCAGCGGGGAATCACTCAAAGACAATAAAGAGCAAACAGCTGTGGGAGAAAAATCAGTCCCCAGCAAATTCACTGACTGTTTATTGTGGCTTTTCGTTACAGAGAGCAGGTTTTATGTTAATTTAAACATGAGAAAACAAAACGGAATGCAAGTAAGGTAATGTCCGCCTAAGGTTTCATGCATGTATATGGTGATATTTAATGTCTGTGTTCTGCAGGATAATAGATATTACATCTTCTCAGTACGATGATATAACGAAGATAACTAAGCTATCAGATGCCATAAGGTGGTCATTCACATACATCTGCATGTATGCATTTATACTCATTTCACCTGTATGTATAGTGGTGGAGGTAGATAGTCGGTTAATTATGATGCCTTAGAGGTAAATGCTTTGCAAGGTGAACATTTACACTGCATTAACGATGACATGCATGAATGTCCCATTTGTTTTACAAGGTAACCAAATAAAATACCACATTGCTGCTTGGGATAGGATGGATAAGCATTTGGAAGATGGATGGATGGATCTTTGTCTTTGAGTTAACTGTAAAGAATTCCATAATTTTACACAATTAAAGAGACTTTTTTAATTGATTGATTTTATGAAATTTATTAATTTCAACTGCATTGTGTGCTATAAAAACAATGTTTTCCAATGTTAATAGACCATATTTGTTGTTTCAATAAAAGTTTTTTAGAACTACATGCTTGTACAGTACTTAACTGAGCAAAGCTGCTGCATGTGTTTGCTAATGATAAGTAGATGATATTTGTAAAAAAATCCTTACTTGGTTTTGTAGCAAACCAAGCCTAGCTTGGAACACTAAGGTACCATAAGGGAGCATTAAATCACAGCAAGTTCAAGTTGGGTTCAAATTTCAACAAATTGACTGATTCAGTGGTTGGATACAAAATACTAAAAACAGCTACAAGCTACAAGAACACAACGATACCGCATAATTACAGTATGTGTTATGAAAATGATTACATTTTACTTAAAAATCATCCATCCATCCATTTTCTGTTTCCACTTGTCCTATTCAGATCGTGGGGGGTCCAGAGCCAATCTTGGAGGCTATGGGCACAAAGCAGGGAACAGTTAAAAATCAGTGATTTTTAATTCTGAAATGTAACCGGTAAATGAATGTATGTTTACCAGCTGACATTGATTCATGTGTCTTAAAAATAGGCACCTTAACGTAGTGGCAAAACCTTACAAAGCTGTGATTGTGAGCAAACAGAAAGACACTGACAATGTAGCATTTTGCACTCTGGTGAGGCTTAATTTATTCCAGATCTCTGCCTTGACCCATAATCCCCCTCCACTTTGCCCATCTGACCCGTCTGTGCCTCATTTCCTACTCATCAGCATCCAAAAGCTGCGAGCTGAGGCCGCGATCAGAGCCGTTAGACAGAGCCAGGCACTGTTCCCATTGCCAGTCCCACCCCCCCTGCTGGATAAAATAAAATAGCCATCAGATCGGGCTAACAGAGGCGGCTTTGTTGAGTGGCTCTGGAGCCACTTTCTATCGCTTTGCCCACTTCAGTGCATCAATGCAACTGACCCCCAAGGTTTTTTTTGGGCATTTTTCCCCCAGCTACAACTCTGCAAGCAGGACCCTCGATATTCAGCTGGAAAAGAGGCCATGAATCGAAAAAAAAACAAAGCTTGGCAAATCTAGTTCTGCTTCCAAATAAGAAACTTCCTAAAGCTCAAGACTCCAGTTGCATTTTTTAAAAGCACTTTGTTGAGAAATCTTATTGAATAATAAAGTCAAAATACCAAGAAAATTATTTAAAAGCAATCTGGGGTTATTTATGTACATGTACTGAATTCAGGACATTTTCTTTACTTATTATGAAATATCAGTAGAATAATAATATTCCTTAGTCTACCCACATTACCTGAGGGTAATAGTTTTGGGATTTAGATTTTTCTGCTACAGTGACTGGGGATTTTCCAGCGGAAAGAGCTTAGTTAAAAACTCTTGATTGATGTTTAAACATTTTAAATGTTTAAAAAATACTGTATAGTGGGAAGGTTATTTGGCATGCATGTCCATATATGTTCTTCTTTCAATGCATTTCTGTGTCACTACCAGAATGCTTAGTCCTTTATCGCAGTTGCTGCTACCTCTGAATGTTTGTCTCTTATCTCCTTGTCTCACTTTTTCTAAGTTTCCCCAGAAAAGGCAGAGTGACTAGTGCACGTGTGACTATGGCAGCCAGCTGTGCTACTGGAAGGGGGAGAGGATCTGTGTCAGTCTTATTAATACCTGTTTTTTTCAGTCTTTGTCTGATATCAACCCTGCTGCAATTACATGGTTGTGTTCACTCACAGCATGTCATGGCAGCGATTCTGTTTTACAAAAATTTGCAGATATAGACAGCTTCATTTCAGGGTTACACCAGCAGGCTAAGGTGGTTGGGGGTATCTTGAAAGAGATAACGACTATGGAGAGTTACCTCTTTTGATGAGTTAGTCCTAGTCTAAGCGCTGCTACTTTAGGTTAAACAAGTGCATCCTTAGGCCATTAATTTATTATTGATAAAGACTCACACGCAAACGATGCTTTCTGGCCTGAAAACTTTTTGTCCCACCATCACAGTTGTTTTTGTGAAATATTTTGCAAACCCTTTGAAAAAATAATGAATTATTTATGTAATTTGCATATAGTAAGACTTATGCACAGGCTATACTAACATTTTTACGGAGCGCGGTGGGGGGTGGGGGGGGGCAGGCCTAAACTTGCCGTGCACCGCGAGTGCAGCTGCTCGCTCTGAAGGCCTCCTCGGCGCTGCCGTGTGTCTGTGAAACACGAGACCCTTTCCTACCATTCCTCACACCACGACGTTCACCTTCATTTGTTTTCCATCGCACTCTCTCGTGTGTTGACTCGTCACTTGGAGATACGCTGTCTTCTTCTGCTGTCAGCAAAAATTTTTTATTTTTCACTCTTTAAAGAGATGTTGTATAATTTACTTGAAATGTCATGTATCATTAGAATAGCGGTA